ACCTATAGTACACATTGAACAACGACATATAGTACACAGTCAACAACGACCTCCAGTACACATTGAACAACGACATATAGTACACAGTCAACAACGACCTATAGTACACAGTCAACAACGACCTATAGTACACAGTCAACAACGACCTCCAGTACACATTGAACAACGACATATAGTACACAGTCAACAACGACCTATAGTACACAGTCAACAACGACCTATAGTACACAGTCAACAACGACATATAGTACACAGTCAACAACTACATATAGTACACATTGAACAACGACCTATAGTACACAGTCAACAACGACATATAGTACACATTGAACAACGACCTCCAGTACACAATCAACAACGACCTATAGTACACAATCAACAACGACATATAGTACACAGTCAACAACGACATATAGTACACACTGAACAACGGCATAAAGTGCACATTGAACAACGACCTCCAGTACACAATCAACAACGACCAACGACATACAGTTCACAGTCAACAACGACATATAGTACACAGTCAACAACGACATATAGTACACAGTCAACAACGACATATAGTACACAGTCAACAACAACCTATAGTACACAGTCAACAACGACCTATAGTACACAGTCAACAACGACCTATATGTACACAATCAACAACGACATATAGTACACATTGAACAACGACCTATAGTACACAATCAACAACGACCTCCAGTACACATTGAACAACGACATATAGTACACAGTCAACAACGACCTATAGTACAGAGTCAACAACGACCTATAGTACACAGTCAACAACGACATATAGTACACATTGAACAACAACCTATAGTACACAGTCAACAACGACCTATAGTACACAGTCAACAACGACATATAGTACACATTGAACAACGACCTCCAGTACACAATCAACAACGACCTATAGTACACAGTCAACAACGACCTATAGTACACAGTCAACAACGACCTATAGTACTCAACCAACAGCTACCTCCAGTACACATTCAACAACGACCTATAGTACACAATCAACAACTGTCTCCAGTACACATTCAACAACGACCTATAGTACACATTCAACAACGACCTATAGTACACATTCAACAACGACCTATAGTACACATTCAACAGCTGCCTCCAGTCCACATAACAATTCAACAACCGTTCTACGACCAGTCTACTCCGCTGTTTCACATGAACAGAACATTTGCCTAAACCCGTTGACCACCCGCTACCGAGACCTTCCAGGTGCCGTTTCTCATCCTACCAGCTCTATTTCGACTGTCCCTTACTAGCGGTTGGTATAGACAGCTTTCAATCCGACTCCTGCCATCTTCTAGCCCACTGCACAACGTGGACATCCCACCGAATGACCCACCCGTCTCCATCTATCCCGGAGTTAAACTGCACACTTCAACCTACACATTGCTACACAATGTATATACATGTATGTGTAAATGCAAGAATTCTTTACATACATTTCAATGTACAAATTCTTTCAAATGAATTTGTTTACTAAGTTGTGACAATTGGTTTTAAGTATTTTATCCATGGTGGTCCAATAATTAAAACACTTAATTAATATCTAAAGTTCATTTCCATGTAAATCCTTATCAGTCAAAAGTGTAAACAATGTGGCCCAGTAAAGTTCCATTACCCTGTGGCCTTCATGTGTGATGTCATAGCTCACACGGTCACATCATGACCTCTCCAGAGCTCATGCATTTTTGGAGCACATGCTTGCCAGTGTGTATTGGACCTCCATGCTGCCTGGTTGTCACCCAGCTGACTGTAAGCTGAACTATGTAAAGACACATATGTGAGTACTTTACACTTTCATTGCTAGGTTGTACTATCTCTAAATTACAATGACATTGTATATATGCCAAAATGTTCATTGGTTGTGCAAAAATTGTTAATATATTTCACACAATAATTTGTAAATTTGTAGTTGTTACTTTTGCAATTTCAATGTATTCACATATCATTCGAATGAAACATTGAATGTTATGTGCTATGAAATTTGTACATTTTCTGAATTTCATCGAAAGCTATTGTTCGTTGTAGTTTTCTGAACAGCTCATCAGCAACTTTACTCTTCAAGTGAACGCAATAATATTAATCAAATCCTCAGCAGCAGCCACTTATTATGAACTGTAATTTCTTAAATATCAATACATAACACCCTGTTGATGCGAGTATCAGTTCTTGTGTTCTGCATTAACAGTATGTCAAGTCTATCTTTATCAGTCTATGTCTATTGTGAAATATGGACTGGAAGGTCATTAAGTACATAGTCGAATGGTGGATACTATCTTAGGGAAGTTTAGCCTATATCTACGTTCTCCTGCTGAGGTGTATTCCACAGGCCCCCACTGCGGGTCAGAAAATCGATAAACTAGGCCCCGGTTTAGTATCAACACCCCCTACTATATAATACATAAAGGTTCATCACAGAAATACGGTGACATGATTGAAAACCGGACAATTACGCACATGTCAATGAATACATTGTATATCGTATTTTAAAGGTCTCACAAGTATCAAAAGCTTTTGTCCATATCTCCGATGTATGTAGGAGGCATATACATGGTCTTTCCGTGGGGATGCATTTGATGTTTTTTATTAAATCGCCAAAGACCGAGTTGCTGTGCCGGGAGTATACAAAACTAGCTCGTCAGCGCTTGACTTCACTACCTCCGGCGTTCTGATTGGCTAACACATTACACTGAATGAATGTGTTTCTTTAAAAAATATTTGTACTCGTTTTTAAAATTATTCTTACCAAGATAAAACATCAGATAGTGACATCTTGGATGATAGACGTTTGAGTTTCCCTCTCATTTTCGCACGTGCATTTTTTATGTGTTTGTCATTTTATTAACCAATTTGATTGCACTGACGACCTAGTTTTGTACACTTCCGGAACAGCAACTCGGTCTTTGGCGATTTAATAAAAAACATCAAATGCATCCCCACGGAAAGCCCATGTATATGCCTCCTACATACATCGGAGATATGGACAAAAGCTTTTGATACTTGTGAGACCTTTAAAATACGATATATTCATTGACATGTGCGTAATTGTCCGGTTTTTAATCATGTCACCGTATTTCTGTGATGAACCTTTATGTATTATATAGTAGGGGGTGTTGATACTAAACCGGGGCCTAGTTTATCGATTTTCTGACCCGCAGTGGGGGCCTGTGGTGTATTCCCTCTGTCGTGTTTACACTGCACGTGTGGAGACAGGATCACAATGGACGACTCCCATCCGTTCCCGCCATCGTGCAGCTCCTCACCCCCATGTACCACAGCACCCCGATACAGACAGCCGCTGCGAGATATGCCGTCACCGTCGCCGGTGATAAATGGATGGGGAGATGTAGATCCGATACCGTGCCTGTCGCCGGAGTTCTGACAACGTCTACAATTTTTGCTCTTTATTATGTAAAAATATCACACCACACCTGAGCCATGTGTACTTCAAATCGTGACGTATCCTTTCGGTAGAACGTGTAGAGTGAGTGGGTGGATGGGTAGAATGATTGATTGAGTGAGTGATTGAGTGATTGATTGAGTGAGTGGGTGGGTCAGTGAGTGATGCTGTCTGGTGTTGCCCCGGTGTCGGGTGTCACCATGTTTATATGTGTTGTCCTGGTGTCGGGTGTCATCATGATATTATGTGTTGTCCTGGTGTCGGGTGCCAACATGCTGCCATGTGTTGTCCTGGTGTTGGGTGCTGTCATGTGTTGCCCTGGTGTCAAGTGCCATCGATGTGTTCTTTTAAACAGCCATGACGGGTGCCACCCTAATGTTGGGTGTTGCCACAGAACCAGGTATCAACCTAATGTTGGCTGAGGCTCTATGCACTGCCACGGTGGCGGTAACATCTCCAAAAGGGTGAAGGAAAACCAAGTTCTGCGGATAGTCAACTTCTTTGTTGCAATGAGTGCGACGTTATCAAGCCAGTGATTGTGTAGGTACTAACACCGTTATCAAGCAAGTGATTGATAACGGTGTTAGTACCTACACCGAAACGTCGCACTCATTGCAATAAAGAAGTTGACTATCCACAGAACTTGGTTTTCCTTCATCTATACAACTTCTAACAATGCTTCTCAAAGAAGTTATCCACAACGGGTGTCGACAGTCAGTGGCACATTTTACAGCCGCTTCATGTACCAGTTTCCAGGCATCTCACTTCTGTCATAATTGTGTGAACATGGTGTTACAATGTAACAAATTATCATTTAGAGGCTTTTCAAATCGCCTTTGATATGTTTGACCGAATGGATATCGGGTATAATACTCCCAGAAGCAGTAGGTCATCGAACTGACATTAACTGTAACATTACATTGGATGTATTTCAGGCATAAACTCTAAAACGTTTTAACTTGTGAGCGTGTTTTCACCTTGATCTAACATTGATCAGTTAGCTACCGAAGAGGAACATTCCACGGTGTTCATTGTATGCATACCAGTGACACATAATCCGAAAGGAATGCAATCCGAGAGGTAAGTCTTCATGTTACGTAACAGCATTCTTAGTTGTTTGACAATACAAACCATACATTTCCAGCTGTATGACAGAGACTGAAAATATTGCAGACTGGACCAGACAACCCGGTGATTGCATAAACAACGTCGGCCGCTGCCGGGATACGACGATACATACACCGTCTTGATGTCGAACCTGAAGGCCAAATCCATTAAGGCGCCTCTTGGATTGCGCTACATGTTTAAATGTACAAGCCCTCCAAATGAGGAAACCCACCCACGGTCTATTCAATGTACTTTCAAGGTGGTCAGGCTCGCTGACTTGGTTGACACATGTCATCGTATCCAAATTGCGTAGATCGATGCTCATGCTGTTGAATATTGGAAGGTCTGGTCCAGACTCGATTATTTACAGACCGCCGCCATATAGCTGGAATATTGCTAAGTGCGGCGTAAAACTAAACTCACTCACTCATTTAAAGCGTCACTCGGCGTATTTTAATCAATAATTTAATCACATTGATCTTATACACATGTCAAATTTACAAATAACATATGTACAGATTGATATTCATTAAAAGGCAACGAAATGTTTGATCATAACAATGAATCTATAAATATAAATAACGAAATGTGACCTGGACATGACCTCCATTTGCAGTTGTACCTCATATTATCTTTTTGCGCATAACCCTAAATATGCAGATTGTACGAGCGCTTCAAGAACTTGTGATATCCCTCCTTTCACTCTGTCACTCAACGTTGTCAACACTCAAGGGCGAACAAAACGGACGAATCACAAGACTGTTTACTTCAGCACTTGGCCCACAGCGTGAGCGTTACTGGAAGCCCCGCCCCGCGATCGTCACGGCCCGACGGTCAGAGCATGGGCGCTCAAGTCCCCATATCATGTATCAAGCCCGTACACACATACAATGGGCTAGTCGGCCGATTACAGTCAATTTAGTAGGCTAGACACTCTGTCGTCAACACTGGTGGGAAGCCACTTTGATTCTTCATTCACAGTAATTGTCTACCTTTGTGAGAAATGTCATTAGCATTTGTCCCGCCACGCCAGTGATCTCGATCACCGGAGTGACTAGTCCCTATTCTGTGGGCACAGAAATTCACTCTCACTGTCTCCGCGCTTGTTCTGGTCTCAGGCACTACGCAGGGGTGGGAAGGGTGGGGTATAACAAACCCGTAGTAATCTCTTACACATAGCACTAGCAAGTAGTGTCAGCTCAGTCTCGCCTGGGTCTGGTTCGGATCCGTGCGAGCTGTCATCTACCTCAACGATTGACACCGGCGTCATGGTGACACAGATAGTGCGTCACGGGTTAGCACTGTGGGTTTACTGCACAACACTTCTGACTAACACCTCATTCTCCCTCGGACTGACAGGAACACGCACAGGCTGTAATCACAGGGTAGCGGATCTTAATCCACCGGCATGCATCGCGCCTCTGCCACTTCCGGCAGTGCCACCTGAGAATTGTTTTGGTAGTGGATTTGCTTGGTTTACACACCATCCCCGGGGGTAAGGAGCATGACCTCTGGGTGGAGCACAGACCGTCCCTTATCCAGCGGGGCCAGAACCTCACCCCCAGGTCCCTCCACACATACTTCACCGGGCAATATGAGTAACTCCACAAAAACTTCTGAAATTTCCTTCTGTCCTTCTTACTCACTTTCAACTTTAACGTAGGTCCATCCTGCAACTGCATCGTCTGAATCAACCTCAGGAATCCCGGTTTCTTCCCAACAGGTCGTCCTTTGTAGAACTTATAATCTAGAGTCCCGTTCTTCCTTCGTGGTAATTTAACGGACATAAACTCTCTATCATAGTCACTACCCAGAAGTGCCATCAGCTTCTTCCTGTTCACTTCCTCTGGGCGTGGGTCGTAGTATTTGTCTCGCGTCTCCACGATACCCTCGATAGGCAGGCGGTCGGAGGGGAGGGGTCGGGTGCCGTCCCGGGGGTACAGGGAATTGTCAGTCGAGAGGTCCTCCGCCTTCAGAAGCTTGAAGTAAACCTGCGTTCCTCTCGTGTGGGGGAGTAGCCAGACGCACGCCAGTACCAACAAGCTTTGGGAAGGACACATCATCCTTAAGGTTGTACTATCTGAAACAAGAGTCATACACTGTTAATATCATCACCACAAGAGATGCTTAGTCTGAACTGTGACTCCTGTTATCATACCAACAGGATAACATATGAAGCAATTCGCACAATAATTGATAATGAAGTCGTGTGTAGATTTGTCGCCATGGTTAAACTACTGAGGTTAGGTTGAGCATTTAACACATTCTATCTATATGCTGTCGGCACTATTTCATTCCAGGGGACGGTGGGGTAGTCGAGTGGTTAAAGCGTTCGCTCGTCACGCCGAAGACCTGGGTTCGATTCCTCACATGGGTACAATGTATGAAGCCCATTTCTGGTGTTCCCCGCCGTGACAGTTGCTGGAATATTGCTAATAGCGGCGTAAAACCACTCACTCAAGTGTTGTGGACACTGATTCGAACCCACCGCTTATTTAGATCCAGGTTGGTTAAGAGAGACACAGCTGTGGATCTCACAGACTCCACGCCACCAGTTTACCCTCGTTACATTAGTACATATATAAATATATATTTGGACAATCACAGCTAAGAGAGCAGTCGGGTGTTTGGCTGACATCAACGTCGATGTCGGGAAGCGTTGTTTGAACCAGTAGTACAGGGCAGCAAACGCTGACGCCAGTGCATCCTTCTGTCATGCTGTTGGCGACTGGAAGCACCGTGTACTTTGATGTGAGAGTGGGCTGATAGCCTATTATAGAGGGGTTGAGGGAATCAAACGACAGTCACAAAGACTTTAGTGACAGGTTCAGTAACAGGGACGTGACACATAGACTCCATTGAATTATTATTATTATTGAACTAAATGTCTGATCCTTACAGTATCAAGTTGTTTTCTCTAAATGTGAACTTTATGCTTTAGGTATTTAAGCTTACCAAATATACTACCGAACCAAATGAAGAAAGATAATCAAAATTGGCACGATAAACTTCATCACTGTCAGGACATGTTTGATACAATCTACTTCTAGATACCATCACCTGGCAACAATGGCTTCTAGTCCCTATGCAGATCCGTGAATATGCATCACAGAACATTCTCAAAATGGTTTTCATAACACGTACATATATAACATCTCGATTACTGTACATTCAAGTATAACAGCAGAAACTAACCGACATACCATACATACTAACACAGTGGAGATATGTCCAATATAACGGACGTGCAACACAATAACGTCATATAGTAGATACTAGTATATAAATATCATTCCGCCAGCGTCTGTGGCGTGGTAGTCGCGGTAGTGGGAGAGTCGCGTTACTTCCTGAAGGGTACTACAACTCCGTGCCCGGCCCTCCACTACACTTATATTGGGCACGGTGGGAGAAAACAAAGCCGGCGTGTATCTATAAACAGCACAGTGGACCAGTCGGCGCCGGATAGACTAGATTCACGGACAAATTACACGTGGCTCCTGAATACTACAGAAAATAACTACAGTCTCGGTGTTTTACGGGATAAATAGCGATGAAAACTTGAATAAGTTGTGAGCATCCGAAAAGTCTTCTCCTATCTTAACCTGAAGTCATTTACTATTATAGTTTTACACAGTTCACAATCACGTACCACCACTACGGAAACGGAGCAGTGGGGTTTATTTAGTAGGTCTTAATTAAACAGTTTTTGAGAGGCGCTGCATATGACATTTGTGGTAAACACCCATACGAAAACATAAACGGTGACGGCTGAGATATAAAACATTGCACGTGAACTGTTCTCAGGTACAAACAGAGTGTATCTTACCTTTGGCTGGACGGGCACTGATCGGTGTGAGCGAGGGACAGGAGTTATGTGACGTCATTTCACAAAAGTGTCAACAATTAACAGTTCTAATTAACGCCTTAATTAGTGCGACACCTCCCCCGCTGTGAAGGTAGTGGCAAGCAAGGCTTGTATAGCGAGTTGTGTCGGCGTCAAGGGGTGTTGTGACGCCGGGGAGGGGGGAGATTAAACCCTTGAGTGCTACACACCTGGGGTGAGTGGTACAAATATAGACAGAAAACAACACTCTATTCACACAATACGCGTGATAATTAACACCTGGTACATAAAATACTACAATCCCAGGCAATGATATAAAGAAAACATGTTGTTCCAGTGACAATTAAAACCTGGAAACAATTAACCCCTCGTGCTAGCTGTTGTAGTATGGCGCTATGGGTGCAGGTATCTAATGTGTTTAACGTTTATAATAGGAAATAATAAAAACAATGTTAGTTATCATGATAAACATTATACGAATAAATATTGTATAGTGAAACAGAGAAACGCTACTTATCTGATATGACGCATGGACATACCATCTTTATGAGTTGGACACTTATATGTTATCAGGAAGATATATGATATACTAGACGGAAGGAAGAATTCACAGACCCCACAACACACCTGGGGAAAGGGAAGACTGATCTCGTTCATAAACTATTTAAGAAATTCTAACACCTAATGAAAACGAATGTATACCAACCGTGTGTGACAGAGTTAGCGGCTCGCGATCTTCCTGCTCAGTGAGTCCGGGTGTTAAGTCCAGTGTGTGACGGACGCTGCAGAGAGACGCCGTCTACATTGGCATCGTCTTCTCCCTCACATCTTCAGCAGCGTCCGATGGAAGGCACGTCACACCTAGCGGCCAGGTATGTACAGGTACAGATCGACAGCGTACAGGTACAGGGATAACAGCGTTCAGTGGTGATTTCCTCACACCGCTCTCATCACCACAGCTTGTGCGTTGTCTCTCCCGCTACGACTCTACCTATCTCATTGCTTGGCCGACAACAGTAGGGACACTACGCACATAGTGTACACGATCTTTTTGTGGAGCGTCGACGCTGAGTCTGGGACGGGCGGACCGCAGTCGGAGGGGGGCGGGGCCGGAGACTACCCCCTCGGACATCGGGCAGTAGGCTGTCATACATTGCCTTGGGCTATGGCGCGGCTTTTCACACTTTTAATGATTCTTGCGGTCAAATTATATTGGAGGTTAATCTTGTGTGATTAGATTTGCGACAAATACAGTTTACTTTACGGTGTAATGAGCCCCCCACCAGATCGTCGCCAGTCTGCGGTCAGCTCGATTCCCTGACGCTTCACCGGTCACCAGTCTCACTGTCTGCCCGTGACAGGCCGGCTGCTGGGCCGTCTACGCTGGTCGTACACCTCTCTGCCCCATAGCCAACAAATAGGTAGGATGAGAACTCCCCAATGTCCCATAGATAGCACATGGGTAGGATGAGAACTCCCCAATGCCCGAGAGCCAGCACATGGGTAGGATGAGAACTCCCCAATGCCCGAGAGCCAGCACATGGGTAGGATGAGAACTCCCCAATGCCCGAGAGCCATCACGTGGGTAGGATGAAAACTCCCTAATGTCCGTGTCGTAAAAGTGCCACATGTGTTCTCATTTCAAACACAAAACCATGCCCGTATCAGTCCCCCCTTACCACCAACCTTACCGCATCCGTATCTCTGCTATCTTCCCTTCACCCACCCACACCATATCTTCCTTCACCCACACCATACCTGTATTCTGATATCTTCCCCCACACCTCACCCACACCATCGTCCCACCCCCACACCACACCCCTTATATCTTCCCTTCACCCACAACATACCCGTATCTCTGATATCGTCCCACCCCCACACCACACCCGTATCTCGGCTATCTTCCCTTCACCCACACCACACCTGTATCTCTGATATCTCTCCTTCACCCACACCACCCATATCTCTATATCTTCCCTTCACCTAATACTCCATACCTAGTATCTCCCTTCACCCACACCATACCTGTATCACCTCATACCCGATCTCTGCTATCTTCCCTTCACCCACACCACACCTGTATCTCTGTTATCTTCCTTCACCCACACCATACCCCGTATCTCTGATATCTTCCCACCACCCACACCACACCCGTATCTCTGCTATCTTCCCTTCACCCACACCATACCCGTATCTCTGATATATTCTTCCTCTTGACCCACCCATACCCGTATCTCTGATATCTTCCCTTCACCCACACCATACCCGTATCTCTGATATCTTCCCTTCACCCACACCATACCCGCATCTCTCTCTGATATCTTCCCACCACCCACACCATATACCCGTATTCTGTATTCTCTGCTATCTCCTCCCTTCACCCACACCATACCCGTATCTCTGATATCTTCCTTCACCCACACCATACCCGTATCTCTGATATCTTCCTTCACCCACACCACACCCGTATCTCTGATATTTTCCCACCACTCACACCATACCCGTATCTCTGCTACCTTCCCTTCACCCACACACATACCCGTATCTCTCTGCTATCTTCCCTTCACCCACACCACACCCGTATCTCTGATATCTTCCTTCCACCCACACCACCACACTCTGTATCTCTGATATCTTTCCACCACCCACACCATACCCGTATCTCTGCTATCTTCCCTTCACCCACACCATACCCGTATCTCTGCTATCTTCCCTTCACCCACACCATACCCGTATCTCTGATATCTTCCCTTCACCCACACCATACCCGTATCTCTGATATCTTCCCTTCACCCACACCACACACCCGTATCTCTGATATCTCCCTTCACCACATACCTGTATCATATCTTCCTCTTCACCCACACCATACCTGTATCTCTGATATCTTCCCCTTCACCCACACCATACCATATCTCCTGCATATCTCTGTATATCTTCCCTTCACCCACACCATACCCGTATCTCTGCTATCTTCCCTTCACCCACACCACACCTGTATCTCTGATATCTCTCCCTTCTTCCTTGATATCTTCCCCAATTCACCCACACCATACCTTATCATATCTTACCCACACCATACCCGTATCTCTGCTATCTTCCTTCACCCACACCATACCCGTATCTCTGCTATCTTCCCTTCACCCACACCATACCCGTATCTCTGCTATCTTCCCTTCACCCACACCACACCCGTATCTCTGATATCTTCCCTTCACCCACACCACACCCGTATCTCTGATATCTTCCCTTCACCCACACCATACCCGTATCTCTGATATCTTTCCCACCACCCACACCATACCCGTATCTCTGCTATCTTCCACCACCCACACCATACCCGTATCTCTGCTATCTTCCCTTCACCCACACCATACCCGTATCTCTGATATCTTCCCACCACCCACACCACACCCGTATCTCTGATATCTTCCCTTCACCACACACCATACCTGTATCTCTTGATATCTTCCCTTCACCCACACCACACTTGATATTTTCCCTTCACCATATCTCTGATATATGTCTTATCACCCACCCACACCTCACATACCTGTATCTCTGATATCTTCCTTCACTGCCACACCATACCTGTATCTCTGATATCTCCTATTCTACAGCCACACCTGTATCTCTGCTATCACCCATGTATCTCTGCTATCTCTCCCTTCATCACTGTCTCTGATATCTTCCCACCACCCACACCATACCCGTATCTCTCTGATCTTCCTGTCTCTGCACCTGTTCTGATCACCCACCACCCACACCATCACCATACCTTCACTCCACACCATACCTGTCTCACTGCTCCTTCCAACCACCACCCGTAGTCTCTGATATCATCACACCACCCGTATCTCTGATATCTTCCCTTCACCCACACCATGCGCATAAAGGTAGCAGGGTGTGTGTCTGATATGTCCTCTACAAGTAGTAGGGTGTGTGTGATCTGTCATCAAGAGATATACGGAGTGTGTGTCTGATCTGCCATGTACAGGTAGACGGAGTGTGTGTCATCTTCCATGTACAGGTAGAAGGTGTGTGTCATCTGTCATGTACAGGTAGACGGAGTGTGTGTCTGATCTGCCATGTACAGGTAGACGGCGTGTGTATCTGCATCATGTAGAGGGGTGTGTGTGTGATCTGTTATGTACAGGTAGACGGCGTGTGTGTCATCTGTCATGTACAGGTAGACGGCGTGTGTCATCTGTCATGTACATAGACGGAGGTGTGATCTGCAAGGTGTGTCTGATCTGTCATGTACAGGTAGACGGCGTGTGTCATCTGTCATGTACAGGTAGACGGCGTGTGTCTGATCTGTCATGTACAGGTAGACGGCGTGTGTCATCTGTCATGTACAGGTAGATGTGTGTCATCTGCCATGTACAGGTAGACGGCGTGTGTGTCTGTGTACAGGTAGACGGCGTCTGTGTACAGATGTCATCTGTCATGTACAGGTAGACGGCGTGTGTCATCTGTCATGTACAGGTAGACGGCGTGTGTCATCTGTCATGTACAGATCTGTCATGTACAGGTAGATGGACGGAGTGTGTGTGATCTGTCATGTACAGGTAGACGGAGTGTGTCATCTGACATGTACAGGTAGACGGCGTCTGTCATCTGTCATGTGCAGATGGACGGAGTGTGTGTCATCTGACATGTACAGGTAGACGGCGTGTGTCATCTGTCATCTACAGGTAGACGGAGTGTATGTCATCTGTCATGTACAGGTAGAAGGTGTGTGTGATCTGTCATCTACAGGTAGACGGAGTGTGTGTGATCTGTCAGCTACAGGTAGAAGGTGTGATCTGTCATCTACAGGTAGAAGGTGTGTGTGACCTGTCATCTACAGGTAGACGGAGTGTTTGTTTTCTGTCATCTACAGGTAGACGGAGTGTGTGTGATCTGTCATGTACAGGTAGACGGCGTGTGTCATCTGTCACCTGCAGGTAGACTGCGTGTGTGTGATCTGACATGTACAGGTAAACGACGTGTGTCATCTGTCATCTACAGGGAGACTGCGTGTGTGTGATGTGTCATGTACAGGTAGACGGAGTGTGTGTCATTTGTCAAGTACAGGTAGACGGAGTGTGTGTCATCTGTCATGTACAGGTAGACGGAGTGTGTGTCATTTGTCAAGTACAGGTAGACGGAGTGTGTGTCATTTGTCATGTACAGGCAGACGGAGTGTGTGTCATTTGTCATGTACAGGTAGACGGAGTGTGTGTCATCTGTCATCTACAGGTAGACGGCGTGTGTCATCTGTCATGTACAGGCAGACTGCGTGTGTGTGATCTGCCATCTACAGGTAGACGACTAGAGATGGACAGGTGGACGGGGATCTGTTCGCTTCAGGTATCTTTAAGTAAGACCAAGACATAGGTAAACGTAACGGATGTTTATGAGGTGCGATTGTTTTCATAAGTCTCGAGTGACAGGTACCCTGTCCCCTACCCGTCTCATGTCGTTCTCTGCCACGCTACTTGTCCCCACCTCTGCCGTTTCATGTCGTTCACATACATTACTCTACGGCAGAAATCTGGATATTTGTAGAGTGTCACCTCGCCTTAAACAAGCGATTCTTCACCATTGTTAACGTGTCCCTAAGACTGTGACTTTCCCCACGTTGTAAAGGGGCCTTGTTTGCACCGCTTGCTGTACCTATTTAAGGAATGTAGATGTCGCCGTCAGTAGGACCCCCTTGGTGTCACCTTCGACCCCGGCACCCCCCCCCGGCGGAGAGTCATGACAAATGAGGGCATGTGTTTTACAACACCCCCGCTACTCGACACTGGCTTATTTAAGTATGACATAATGACTTAGCAACAACTCATCACCATATAAACCAGCGTTCTTCTGGTTATCACAGACCAGCGTTTGAAGCAGGGGAAGCTGTTGTTGTGGGCGATGTGGGGGCGAGGACACGGTCAGGGGTGGGGAATGCCAAATGTTCATGATATGTGTGCCGGTATCTCCACTTCCTGCAATGCCAACTAGATACACCAGAGTCGTCAACAAGACGTATTGCCAATTCAATATCTTTGACATGAACACAAATAACCGAATTTCGTTTTGAAACGAATGGCACAGATTTGCGAAAATGACAGTAGAGCGAAAAATCGGATCGAGAGTTAAATGTGTGAGTGAGTTTAGTTTTACGCCGCACTCAGCAATATTCCAGCTATATGGCGGCGGTCTGTAAATAATCGAGTCTGGACCAGACCATCCAGTGATCAACAGCATGAGCATCGATCTGCGCAACTGGGAACCGATGACATGACATTGTGTCAACCAAGTCAGCAAGCCTGACCACCCGATCCCGTTCGTCGCCTCTTACGACAAGCATGGGTTACTGAAGATCAATATTCTAGATCGGGTATTCGAGGGTTAAAAGATAGATGCCATACAAGAGATGAGGTAGGGTGTGAGAGGGAATGTGCACGTACGGTCATGGTTCCACCGACCTGGACGTCCTGATGACTGCCACCTCTTAGGGACAGGTCTTTTGGGGATTGGGTGAGAGGTGGGAAGGCTTTTGGTGCACTTATGTACCGAAAATAATGAACCTCTAATGCTAATTCTTTCCTGAAAAGAGAAAATGCGAAAGAACTATATATTCTCTAATAATGTTTTTATCAAGCTTGATGACCCTTCCCAAACATGTCCATTATGTTTTATGACGTTCTTATACTCATGTTAACAACGTTGAATGTATTCAGAGAGATGTTGACGATTATCCCACCGACTCATTTGAAATGCAAGAAAACACAAAGACTCAGTGATGCATAATAATTTTGTGTGACTACGATGTCTTTTGCGCAAGCGTTAGACCACACGAGGGCGCTGCAGAAGATCACGTATTTCGCCACTGAAGGGCGTTGGTGTTAGATGGTTGTCTGGCGTAGATGAAAGAGAGGGATCTCCTTTGTTGCCGGTACTTAGCATCATTAGTGAGACGGGAGTCTGTACGACTTGTACCAGTCAGTTGTCCGGTTGGGCCACTGCCCCACTAGAGGGCGCAGTGTACATGGTGGAAGGTTGTGTAGAGTTTGTGTGGGAGTCAATGCAACATAAACAATAACGCGGGTATGTTACCATTGCCAACAACAGGCCGGACTGAAACAATATGTATGGAAAATCAAGTTCATATGTTAAATAATGAGCTGAGCACGTTTGTTGTCAGAGCGCGCCAGATTCGCTTCCATATTGAGCTGCGAAGTCGCAGTGGCACCGTGGGCGAAGCCGGTCACCTTGGGTTAGAAAGGTCACGTTCATTTTCCGGTTCATACCGAGTTGCATCATAAGAAAAGTACACTGGATGGCATCAGGAGTCATGTTATTATGAGCAACTGTATATGTGGACGAACGGGAACCAAACTGAGGTGATAAAGCAGGATATTTCTGGCTGGATTGACAACATGCCATCATACAATTTTACTTTTACTTTTTACTTTTACCGTCACTGTCGGTCACTGAGTAATCCGAGAGAATCACAGACGGGTTATCTTATCATTCCATTACCCACTAGTCCGAGGGACGGACAGGTGGCTTATCTAATCATTCAGTTAACAACTAATGCATGAGACGGACAGACGGATTATCTACTCAATCCATAAGCCACTAATCCGAGAGACGGACATGCGGATTATCTAATCATTCCATCACTTAAAAATCGAAGAAACGGACAGACGGGTTATCTAATCATTACATTACCAACTAACAAGAGAGACGGACAGACGGGTTATCTAATCATTACATTACCCACTAATCCGAGAAACGGACAGACGGCTTATCTAATCATTCCATTACCCACTAACAAGAGAGACGGACAGACGGGTTATCTAATCATTCCATTACCCAGTAGTCCGAGAGACGGACAGACGGGTTTTCTAATCATTCCATTACCCACTAACAAGAGAGAAAGACAGACGGGTTATCTAATCATTCCATTACCCACTAGTCCGAGAGACGGACAGACGGGTTTTCTAATCATTTCATTAGCCATTAATTCCACAGACGGACAGACAGGTTACCTAATCATTTCAGCACCCACTAATCCCAGAGACGGACAGACAGATACGGACAGAAGGATTATCTCATCATTGCATTACCAACTAATCCGAGAGACGGACAGACAGAGACGGGCAGACGGGTTATCTAATCTTTGCATTATCCACTAATCCGAGAGACGGACAGACGGGTTATCTAATCTTTGCATTACCCACTACTCCCAGAGACGGACAGACGGGTTATCTAATGTTTGCATTACCCATTAATCCGAAAGACGGACAGACGGGTTATCTAATCTTTGCATTACCCACTAATCCGAGAGACGGACAGACGGGCATCACTCCGAGAGACGGACAGACGGGTCATCTAATTTTGCATTACCCACTAAGCCGAGAGACGGACAGACGGGTTATCTAATCTTTGTATTACCCACTAATCCGAGAGACGGACACACTAATCTGAGACGGGTTATCTAATCTTTGGACAGACGGGTTATCTAATCTTTGCATTACCCACTAATCCGAGAGACGGACAGACGGGTTATCTAATCTTTGCATTACCCACTAATCCGAGAGACGGACAGACGGGCCATCTGATTTTGCATTACCCACTAATCCGAGAGACGGAGAGACGGGTTATCTAATCTTTGCATTACCCACTAATCCGAGAGACGGACAGACGGGTTATCTAATCTTTGCATTACCCACTAATCCGAGAGACGGACAGACGGGTTATCTAATCTTTGCATTACCCACTAATCCGAGAGACGGACAGACGGGTTATCTAATCTTTGCACTAACCAAGACCAGAGAGACGGACAGACGGGTTATCTAATCTTTGCATTAACCACTAATCCGAGAGACGGACAGACGGGTTATCTAATGTTTGCATTAACCACTAACCAGAGAGACGGACAGACGGGTGATCTAATCTTTGCACTAACCACTAATCCGAGAGACGGACAGACGGGTTATCTAATCTTTGCATTACCCACTAATCCGAGAGACGGACAGACATCCTATCTAATCCTTCTTTTTCTCATTTTCACACAGATGAACAAACAGTTTATCGGCTCATTCGCTAACCCACTAATCCGAGAGACGGACAGGCGGGTTATCTAATCTTTGCATTACCCACTAATCCGAGAGACGGACAGACATCCTATCTAATCCTTCTTTTTCTCATTTTCACACAGATGAACAAACAGTTTATCGGATCATTCGTTAACCCACTAATCCGAGAGACGGACAGACATCCTATCTAATCCTTCTTTTTCTCATTAAAACACAGATGAACAAACAGTTTATCGGCTCATCCACTAATCCGAGAGACGGACTCTAGTGTTATCTAATTATTCGCTTACTCATTAATCCGAGAGACGAACGACAAGCTATATGGCTAACAAACTCTTGGGCATAAGACCGGTAGGCAGATGACCTGTATCTGATTGTAACTGTGACTGAATGCTGGACCAGACAAACAGGTGACTGAAGGTATGAGCAATGCTCCATTAGACGGCATGGGTTGCTGGACAACGAGTCACAGAGGGTTCATTGTACTACGACTGTTTATTACGACATACATAGCACATGGTAGGCTTTCTGTAACGGAACTCTGTGGATGGGCTACAGTGAGTACCCGTGAAGGTCCGGGTAAGAATATTGATCTTCAGTAACCCATGCTTGTCGTAAGAGGCGACTAATGGGATCGGGTGGTCAGGCTCGCTGACTTGGTTGACACATGTGAACGGTTCCCAGTTGCGCAGATCGATGCTCATGCTGTTGATCACTGGATTGTCTGGTCCAGACTCGATTATTTACAGACCGCCGCCATATAGCTGGAATATTGCTGAGTGCGGCGTAAAACTAAACTCACTCACTCACTCGCTACAGTGAGATCTTAACGCTGAATTGATCCCAACTCACAGATTCACTTCATGCTGGTACAGCGCAAAGGTGACCGTAACCTATACATAGACTTACGCCAGTTGTAGCACTAGAGTCGCTTTGTGGTAAAGGGCTGTGGTCCTTAGATTTATCTACACGATTACTAAACACATGATCAGTACACCACCATCCTCCTTAACCTTGTAATGAGTAAATCGCCCCCAACAGGTTCACTGTACACCATTCCTCTCGTGTAGTGTTTGCTGTAAACACCCATTTGTCACTTCCCGTGTGTTCTGTGAAAACACTTTGCCATCTGCTTAGACCGGTGAGTGCTGTGGGTCAGACAGGTGAGGGAGGCTAGTTTACTTGGAATTGTTGGTTTTCTCGTAGATTAAAAGGGTGAATGCTGGCTTATGACGATTTGCTGATTGTCCACATATTCCACCAGATCCCACACGCGAAGACGATAACACAAATCACTCAATGATGGCCCCAGCAGCCACCAAACTCACATTACCAGGCTCCAACAGCCACCAACCTCACATTACCAGGCTCCAACAACCACCAACATCCTCCTACCAGGCTCCAACAACTATCAACATCCTCCTACTAGGCTCCAACAACCACCAACAACCAGGCTCCAACAACTACCAACATCCTCCTACCAGGCTCCAACAACCACCAACCTCAAACTACCAGGCTCCAACAACTATCAACATCCTCCTACCAGGCTCCAACAACTATCAACATCCTCCTACTAGGCTCCAACAACCACCAACCTCAAACTACCAGGCTCCAACAACTACCAACATCCACCTACTAGGCTCCAACAACCACCAAACTCAAACTACCAGGCTCCAACAACTATCAACATCCTCCTACCAGGCTCCAACAACTATCAACATCCTCCTACTAGGCTCCAACAACCACCAACCTCAAACTACCAGGCTCCAACAACTATCAACATCCTCCTACTAGGCTCCAACAACCACCAACCTCAAACTGCCAGGCTCCAACAACTATCAACATCCTCCTACTAGGCTCCAACAAACTCAAACTACCAGGCTCCAACAACTATCAACATCCTCCTACCAGGCTCCAACAACTATCAACATCCTCCTACCAGGCTCCAACAACCATCAACCTCACATTATTCCACTCCTACAACCATCAATCCCCGGCTGCAACAAACTCAAGGCAACCACCCGACTTCAACATCCTCTTTTCTCCGACAGCATCTGGACAAGTTCCCCTCCCCATTCCACTCCGCATATCGTTGCTGTAAGGCACAGTGTGAGAGGATCCCGATGTTTCCCCCTCCCCCGCCCTCCTCCTTACGCCGTCGCACTCTCGCGGTCGGGTAGAAATCCCGTAATCATTTGATAAGGGCTGCGGTACGTCCGCCAAGCTTTAAAGATTACACTGCAGTACTCAATACAGACAATAGGAGACAATATGTCGCTCCCCGGAAATAAAAAAAAGTAAAATGAGAAACTACTTCATCAAAAAGCTATGAGGTCAATCCTGAGGATGTGCTGGGGGATGCGCGATCCACAAGACGACGAAAGTCTACCCGTTAGATGAAAAGGACACAGAGCCGTAAACCGCTGGTGACCCAGGGTACAACAGCCTGAGTACAGAGGGGGTAGTCTGTCTCACAGACCCTGAACCACATTCCCATATTGCCTAGCCTTCTCTGCAGTGCTAAAGCCCTAAATAAAGTAAGTCTAGATTTCCTCAGGTTCAGGAAAATCTGAATCTCTGGTCTCCCTGGGGCTCCTTTTCAATTTAAATGGGCTTGTTTGTTACTATCAAAATTAGGCTAGAATGCACTTTGCCGGGCGCAGCCGTCTCCCTTCACTTGCATCTTTAGAGTCAAACAACCCTTTACGATACTTAGGGTTAACGTTTAGGGTTAGGGTATGGCACCCTTTACGATCTTTAGGGTTAGGGTTTAGGGGCACTCTTTACGATCCTTAGGGTAAGGCACCTTTTACGATCCTTAGAGTTAGGGAACCCGGGAAAAAGTGCGCCCGGTAAACTGCAGTACTCCCCAAATTTATATATATTCAGAGACTAAGCATTTGTCTAAGAGGGGGGGCACAATCCATGGTTGGCACGGGGTACCACAGCCTGAGAACAGGAGGGGCATACAATTCTCCAATCCAGAGAAAGTCAACCTGTGTACTACAGCAAGCTTATTGATGAAAGTTATGCCATAACAAAGTGCAGATTCACTCTGTTTATCTGAATGATGTAAAGTATTATATATTCAGAAAATGTTCTGTTCACGAAAATTATTGACTGTTCTTGTGAGGTTTTAGATGAAATAATGGCATAAACCTTTCCAGTACTCAAAACTTAGGACACCCCCCATCCAGCCCACAGGTCCACCCCAACCACCAGGACCCCGTCCTGCCTAGAGTCACGCTGTGGGGGATCAGCGTGTTTGCTGAACGTGATACATCAGGACCTGGCGTGGAGAGTCGGAGCAGGCCGCTAAGTTGCTTGTCTGTGGAGCTTCGTGGTCTGCCATGTTCCCTTGTCTCTGTGGCGTCAGGTAAGCCGCTGTCAGTCATTAATTAGTCTTCACTGTTTACAACCCGGCACGCAACACCTCGAAGTGTCGCCATGTTGACCTTGTAATCCCAATACAACCCTGTTGCCCATCAGTGTTCAAGGCGCACTAATCTATAACATCATAGTCATTCCTCTTTCATTTTGGAGCGGCGATCTGCATGCATTGTTTTACGGCGCAGTTCTAGTTGGACCAAACAAACCAGTGAGCGATGGCATGAGCATTATCTATGTATATACAATGACGCCCTCATGCGAACCAGTCCACGTTATTTGGCAATAGACTCTCAGCAAGCACGAGACATGAACGCTCTATTGTATGTAGAGTATTTCTATTGTATGTAAAGTATCTCTATTGTATGTACAATAGCTCTGTTATATGTACAGTAGCTCTGCTGTATGTACAGTAGCTCTGCTGTATGTACAGTAGCTCTATTGTATGTACAGTAGCTCTATTGTATGTACAGTAGCTCTATTGTATGTACAGTAGCCCTGCTGTATGTACAGTAGCTCTATTGTGTGTACAGTAGCTCTACTGTATGTACAGTAGCTCTATTGTATGTACAGTAGCGCTATTGTATGCACAGTAGCTCTGTTGTATGTACAGTAGCTCTATTGTATGTACAGTAGCTCTGTTGTATGTACAGTAGCTCTGTTGTGTGTACAGTAGCTCTGTTGTATGTACAGTAGCTCTATTGTATGTACAGTAGCTCTGCTGTATGTACAGTAGCTCTGCTGTATGTACAGTAGCTCTATTGTATGTACAGTAGCGCTATTGTATGTACAGTAGCTCTGTTGTGTGTACAGTAGCTCTGTTGTGTGTACAGTAGCTCTGTTGTATGTACAGTAGCTCTATTGTATGTACAGTAGCTCTATTGTATGTACAGTAGCTCTATTGTATGTACAGTAGCTCTATTGTATGTACAGTAGCTCTGCTGTATGTACAGTAGCGCTATTGTATGTACAGTAGCTCTGTTATATGTACAGTAGCTCTGCTGTATGTACAGTAGCGCTATTGTATGTACAGTAGCTCTATTGTGTGTACAGTAGCTCTGTTGTATGTACAGTAGCTCTATTGTATGTACAGTAGCTCTATTTAATACCGTGATTAATCTGACTCGATCTGTTTCGGAGAGGCTCTCGTTCGACTTGATTGTCTGGTTCGTCTCTTCCGACCTAAACGTCCTGTTGATCTTTCTTCTCTTCCGATTTAAGCGACGAGTGTGTCCCCATTTCCATGAATCGAGCATTAAATATATCTCCCCGAGTTGAGAGTCTAGTATATCCCCATCTTCCCGAGTTGAGAGTCTAGTATATTCCCATCTTCCCGAGTTGAGAGTCTAGTATATCCCCATCTCTCCGAGTTGAGTGTCTAGTATATCCCCATCTGCCCGAGTTGAGAGTCTAGTGTATCCCCATCTCTCCGAGTTGAGTGTCTAGTATATCCCCATCTGTCCGAGTTGAGAGTCTAGTGTATATCCATCTTCCCGAGCTGAGTGTCTAGGATATCCCCATCTGTCCGAGTTGAGTGTCTAGTATACCCCCATCTGTCCGAGTTGAGAGTCTAGTGTATCTCCATCTTCCTGAGTTGAGAGTCTAGTATATCCCAATCTCTCCGAGTTGAGTGTCTAGTATATCCCCATCTCTCCGAGTTGAGTGTCTAGTATATCCCCATCTCTCCGAGTTGAGTGTCTAGTATATCCCCATCTCTCCGAGTTGAGAGTCTAGTGTATCTCCATCTTCCCGAGTTGAGTGTCTAGTATATCCCCATCTGTCCGAGTTGAGTGTCTAGTGTATCTCCATCTTCCCGAAGTGAGTGTCTAGTATATCTCCATCTTCCCGTGTTGAGAGTCTAGTATATCCCCATCTCTCCGAGTTGAGTGTCTAGTATATCCCCATCTCTCCGAGTTGAGAGTCTAGTGTATCTCCATCTGTCCGAGTTGAGAGTCTAGTGTATCCCCATCTTCCTGAGTTGAGAGTCTAGTATATCCCCATCTCTCCGAGTTGAGTGTCTAGTATATCCCCATCTCTCCGAGTTGAGAGTCTAGTGTATCTCCATCTTCCCGAGTTGAGCGTCTAGTATATCCCCATCTGTCCGAGTTGAGTGTCTAGTGTATCTCCATCTCTCCGAGTTGAGAGTCTAGTGTATCTCCATCTTCCCGAAGTGAGTGTCTAGTATATCCCCATCTGTCCGAGTTGAGAGTCTAGTGTATCTCCATCTTCCCGAGTTGAGAGTCTAGTGTATCTCCATCTTCCCGAGTTGAGAGTCTAGTATATCCCCATCTCTACGAGTTTTGAGTCTAGTATATCCCCAATCTTCCCTAGTTGAGAATCTAGTATATTTCCATCTCTTCGAGTTCAGAGTCTAGTATATCCCTATCTTCCCTAGTTGAGAGTCTAGTATATCCCCATCCTCCCGAGTTGAGAGTCTAGTATATCCCCATCTTCCCTAGTTGAGAGTCTAGAATACCTCCATCTTCCCCAGTTGAGAGTCTAGAATACCTCCATCTAATATCCCTATTTCACCGAGTTGAGCGTCTGACGTCTGCGCATTACCCGATGTTACAGTAGAAGCTAATGAAGCCTGCAGACCCTGACTGGACTCTGGTGACAGTGATCCCAGGATTAGGGCCGAGCCTGGGTGGCACCTCACTGGGTTGCAGTCTCGCTCTGACGCCGGGATCGCCGCCTTGAAGGGGGAGGGGCACCTGCTGCTTTTAATCAAGATTTTCTCAGGTTGCAGAGGTAATCAGACACCTGAAATGTTCACAGGCTTTGTTACAGCGACTTGTAGTCGGGATTCCGTGGTCGTCTGGGCATAGCGTTGCTGGCGTAGTACTCACGACAACCACTCCTTGACGACAGCAACATCGTCAACAACACTGCACAATGACTGTTACTTTCAAACACACATTTCTAACCCAGAGGCCACTGGTAAAGGTACGCCAGTCATGTTATCAAAACACGAACATTTTATCCAAGGTTTGTTCAAGCCTTTACCGACATAAACAAAACCGTTGACCAACACATGTACTGTTTTGCTATGTTATTGCACAATAAATGTCACTGTTTAGAAAACGATAGGGACCTTAATTTTAAAAAGCTGACTTGCAAGTTTTACTCCTTTTTAAAATCAAGTTAAATGTAGTTACTCCGCATTCGGTGGACTATCATCGCGGAATCTGGTTTACTATGCATGGTGTCAGTCAAATTGTGCTATACATGAGTGTCTCTTGACAAATATTGATGAGAAAAAGATGAATGGAAATTGGTATGACATGACAATAGACGAGTACTTGAATAAACCAATTAAAATATCTGCCTTAAGCTTTCCCGGTAGCGATGTAAGGTGTAGTGATTTCCGACTACAGCGGCAGACAGGAACGTTACCGTGTTTACATACATATCGTCACGTCTCATTGCATTCTTTGATCCTGCCGCCCAGCTGACCGTATTCACGCAGGTAATGTCGACGGTGTTGTGTGATGGGGTGGGGAGGGAGACGCCCCCTCGGCGCCAGATTGGGTCGTCATCTCACCCCACCAACCTTTTACAGTAGTGTCAATTCAATCAAGAATATCCAAATAGAATATTTTACTGACGTGTTACATTAACAAACAAAAAATACAGAATGAGCTGCACTCTCCGTGAAATGTGGTTACATTATAACACATAGACAGTAGGGTTCTACTGTCCTCGTGTTCGCTTGAAAATAGGCTATACTTGCCCTGGTGTGGAATAGTACAGCTGGGTCAGCTTGGCCCCCACACACCGGTGCCTGGTAGTAAGAGGTTTGTTGTTAATATTGTGTGTCACTGTCCAAGTGTTCTTCACGATCAGTGTATTCAGTTCACACGACAATACAAGCGCCTGGTACATTAATTCCCCAAACCCCATACGAGATTCAGAGGAAGGATCACCCGTCCAAGCACACTGATCTTGTTGATGTGTAAACAATCAAACTGAATCATTTGCGGCCATGTTTTCAACGCCAGAGTGAGTGAGTTTAGTTTTACACCGCTTTTAGCAATATTCCAGCAATATCACGGCGGGGGACACCAGAAATGGGCTTCACACATTGTACCCATATGGGGAATCGAACCCGTGTCTTCGGCGTGACGAACGAACGTTTTAACCACTAGGCTACCCCACCACCCCCTCAACACCAGAACTATATATAAATAACTGTTTTATTTAATGGATGCATACTGATAACCTAATCAAGTCCAAGAATTCAGTATGTCATGTGTATCGTACCTTTTCGAATACGCTGGGCGTCCAAAACTCCTATATTCGCCCTGTGCCTAGTTAAAGCTCCACACACACACAGCAGTGTTGTCCTAAAACACCGGTTGTAGAATATGTCTTTTACCTTGTAACTACACAATGGTAAGCTGACAGAGCCACCACATCTCTCCTGTGGTCTAATTACTGCTAAATTGCATCATTTGAGTGCTAACACTAACTTGAAGTGAAATTGACATGGTTTTGACTTTCTCCCTCCTTCGCCGACTCCTGGGTAAACACCTGTGTTGAAGGAGCCTGTCTCCACACATGCTATATACCATATAAACGTTCACCAGACGTGCTATATACCATATAAACGTTCACCAGACGTGCTATATACCATATAAACGTTCACCAGACGTGCTATATACCATATATACGTTCACCAGACATGCTATATACCATATAGACATTCACCAGACATGCTATATACCATATAAACATTCACCAGACGTGCTATATACCATATAAACGTTCACCAGACATGCTATATACCATAAAAACGTTCACCAGACGTGCTATTGACCATATAAACGTTCACCAGACGTGCTATATACCATATAAACGTTCACCAGACATGCTATATACCATGGCGTTCACCAGACGTGTTATATACCATATAAACATTCACCTGACGTGCTATATACCATATAAACATTCACCAGACGTGCTATATACCATATAAACATTCACCAGACGAGTTATATACCATATAGACGTTCACCAGACGTGCTATATACCATATAAACGTTCACCAGACGTGCTATATACCATATAAACGTTCACCAGACGTGCTATATACCATATACACATTCACCAGACGTGCTATATACCATATAAACGTTCACCAGACGTGCTATATACCATATAAACTTTCACCACACATGCTATATACCATATAAACGTTCACCACACATGCTATATACCATATACACGTTCACCAGACGTGCTATATACCATATAAACGTTCACCAGACATGCTATATACCATATAAACTTTCACCACACATGCTATATACCATATAAACGTTCACCACACATGCTACATACGGAAGGCAATTCTCAGGACTATCTTGGGTTTGTTGGCCAACGACTGGGAAATGGTTCGAACCTCTTAGCAATCTTCAGTCGAAAAAGGCTCTCGTAAAATCCCTACCTCTCTTTTCTTGAACTTCCAAAATTATATTTTAGTCTGCATGGTTTGTTCATTGCCAATCATTCCACGGATAGTATTCACATAAAACACATTGAGATGGTGCCACCCCAGTACATCGTTACCCCTTCCCTGTAACACCGGCACCCCTCAGTACATCGTCGCCCCCACCCTGGAACATCGCCACCCCCCAGTACATCGTTACCCCTTCCCTGGAACATCGCCTGCCCCCAGTACAACGTTATCCCCACCCTGTAACACCGCCACCCCTCAGTACATCGTTACCCCCACCCTGTAACATCGCCACCCCCGAGTACATCGTTACCCCCACCCTGGAACCCCGGCACCTCAGTACATCGTTACCCCTTCCTGGAACATCGCCACCCCTCAGTACATCGTTACCCCAACCCTGTAACACCGGCACCCCTCAGTACATCGTTACCCCCACCCTGGAACACCGCCACCCCTCAGTACATCATTACCCCACCCTGGAACACCGCCATCCCCATTACATCGTTACCCCCACCCTGTAACACCGCCACCCCTCAGTACATCGTTACCCCTTCCCTGTAACATCGCCACCTCAGTACATCGTTACCCCCACCCTGTAACATCGCCACCCCTCAGTACATCGTTACCCCACCCTGTAACACCGCCACTTCAGTACATCGTTACCCCCACCCTGTAACATCGCCACCCTCAGTACATCGGTACATCGTTACCCCCACCCTGGAACACCCCACCACCCCCAGTACATCGTTACCCCTTCCCTGTAACATCGCCACCTCAGTACATCGTTACCCTCACCCTGGAACATCGCCACCCCAGTACATCGTTACCCCACCCTGTAACATCGCCACCCCTCAGTACATCGTTACCCAAGTACATCGTTACCCCAACCCTGTAACATCGCCACCTCCCAGTACATCTTTACCCCCACCCTGGAACACCGCCACCCCAGTGCATCAGACAACTACTACCCTGTCACTGTTATTAGGAAGTCGATGATTACGAATTGGTTCGCACTCCAAATTGTTGTATTTTTCGTAAATACGTAACGGAGCATGCCTGATAGGGCAGCAGGAAGTCTGCCAAGGTCTGGCACCGAGGCAGGCACATAATAGTTGTACACTTTGATCAGTCTCCAACTGACGGATTAGGTGACAACGGACATCTTTGTTGTTGGAGGACCCTGACTATATCCCGTTCACAAGAAGGACGAGTAGGGGAGTTTTATGATGATCTTAACGGGCACCTGTCTCCGTTCATGTTCCCGGGATAGAGACTGTGTCTATTACTAGCTTGAAACGCTAACTACTGTCGTTGACGATAGTGACGAGGCTGTCACTCACTTGTCCCTTCTTGACAACCTCCTGCCCCGAGCTAACGCGTGTAGGGGGGTAGGTATACGTAGGTATATTGCCCCGGGGGCAGGTAATGGGGGCCTGGTCTTGTGTGTGGTTAGGGGAAAATTGGGCTGGATATAGAGTGGAGACTTGGTCAGTCAGACTTTAGGGTTTTAAAGTTGCTGCATTACGATTTATGGGTCACCAGGAAGTTTACCATATTCTTGCATATTTATTCAGTACAATAACAACCCATACTATCAGGCTTCAGTATACGACTACACACAACCACGCAGACAGCATGTTTCTTCCAGCCCAAGTGTGATCAGACATTCATTGTTGCTGTCTTCAGGGGATGATGCCACAGTGAAGTCCGGACAGGGGAACTCAACGGGGAGGAGGCGCCGTGAAGATGATCCAAGATCAGGAAGCCCTCCAACCTCCACCACTGAAGAAACTCAACTACCACTAAGGCACTAGTTGATGCAATACGTGATACGATTATAGATGGTGGGTGCCTAACCACACGCCACGTAGGCAAAACATGAGGGGGTTGAGAACATTCTGAGGAATGAGCGAGTTTAGTTTTACGCCACTTTTCAACAATATTCCAACACTATCACGGCGGAGGACACCAGAAATGTGCTTCACATATTGTACCCATGTGGGGAATCGAACCCGGATCTTTGGTGTGACGATCGAAAGCTTTAACCACTGGACTACCCAACCGCGCCTTATGGGGAATGAGCTGGGCATAACGAAGGTTTCAGCAAGCTGGATCATTAGACTTCTGACTCCTGATCACGTTACGTTTCTCGTGTTTCTCATGGGACTTTACGTCGTTTAAAAGCAGACCAGCTGATTTTGTAAAACAAATTGTAATGATGGGTCAGACTTGGGTGATTATCCCATCAGTCACAGACTAAACAACTGTCAGAGCAGTGGACACATCTAATACCCACTCAACCCCTCTTATGCTTCCAAGAAGGTAAATCGTGTTCCGATGGGGTGGTGGGGGTTGGGGGTGGGTTTTTTTATTATGTTGAAAACTATTGAGCAACCAACTCCATCAACGTACATCAGACTCAGACCTTTTCTGCCCCACGTATATCAACAATCACAAAAGTGAATATCCTACATCACTCCTGACGGCAGTAGATCACTTATGTCACGATAGCCAGCAGTACATCACCTATGTCACGATAGCCAGCAGTACATCTCTTATGTCACGATAGCCAGCAGTACATCACTGATGTCACGATAACCAGCTGTACATCACTTATGTCACGATAGCCAGCAGTACATCACTTATGTCACGATAGCCAGCAGTACATCACTTATGTCACGATAGCCAGCAGTACATCACTTATGTCACGATAGCCAGCAGTACATCACCTATGTCACGATAGCCAGCAGTACATCACCTATGTCACGATAGCCAGCAGTACATCACTTATGTCCTGCTGGCCAGCAGTAAATCACTTATGTCACGATAGCCAGCAGTACATCACCTATATCACGATAGCCAGCAGTACATCACTTATGTCACGATAGCCAGCAGTACATCACTTATGTCACGATAGCCAGCAGTACATCTCTTATGTCACGATAGCCAGCAGTATATCACTTATGTCACGATAGCCAGCAGTATATCACTTATGTCACGATAGCCAGCAGTACATCACTTATGTCACGATAGCCAGCAGTACATCACTTATGTCACGATAGCCAGCAGTACATCTCTTATGTCACGATAGCCAGCAGTACATCACTTATGTCATGATATGCTATTCAATGTTCAGTAGACGGGCCAACTATTCAATGCTCTATGGTGGGGTCAACTATTCAATGCTCACTAGTCGGGCCAACTATTCAATGCTCACTAGTCGGGCCAACTATTCAATGCTCACTAGTCCGGCCAACTATTCAATGCTCACTAGTCGGGCCAACTATTCAATGCTCACTAGTCTGGAAAACTATTCAATGCTCACTAGTCGGGCCAATTATTCAATGCTCACTAGTCCGGTCAATTATTCAAAGCTCGCTTGTCGGGCCAATTATTCAAAGCTCGCTTGTCGGGCCAATTATTCAAAGCTCGCTAGTCGGGATAACTATTCAATGCTCACTAAGTTGGGACAACTCTTTAATGCTCACTGGTCTAATATCCTAATATGCATGATATAGTAAGTGCCGTAAACCCAACTCACTCACTCACTCTTATGTAACAGCATTACCCCGTACTGTCTGTATGTGGCGAGTGATACGTTCAGGTATGATACCATGTCCTCCCACCATTTGGCTAAGTCTGTTGTGTCTGGAAGTTAGACCTAGAATGCATCAGCGGTAACACCCCGAGTCCAGGCCTGGCTGCACAGATGTAGATGTATTCAAGTGGGCAGACCAGTGTGAGTACTGACAAGTCCCCCAGATATAGTATACAGATCTATCACGTCGGACGGACCCCACGCTGGCGTGGCGCTTGGAGACACATTCCCCTACACAGACGAACGCTCATTCGATCAAAACTCAACTAATTATGTTATGACTAGTCTCAACAAAAACACACCAACATGATGGCGAGAGATTCTCCTGTAAAAGTCTTCTTTCCTGCCGTTCATTTGGCTGCCATGTTGTCTCAGACCGACGACATTGAGTCGCCATTGCAGATAGCTTGGCACGCGGCCCGGGCTGGCTCCCCACCTGCTGCCAGAGCCTGCTGTGTAGGGGAACACCATACTCCCTACTCCGCGGCACCACGCTCGCAGCTAATTAATACACTCAGTCTTATAGTAAATATACCTTGTCGCAGAACTGTTTTCGAAAAGATAATGTACACATAAACATAGGATAAAGAGGTGTATAATCACAACAAACAAATATATATATATATATAGAAGAAAAGTAAATATCATTTATACCTATTAACTATCAGTTCTGTGCCCTACAAATCTCGCAATTAGTCGAGGAGCGGTATTGCACAGATAGTCACTTCTTTCTATACTAGTAGTGGAGTGGTATTGCACAGATAGTCATTAGTCACTTGTCTCTCTACCAGTAGTTGAGCGGTATAGCATGGATGGTCACTTGTCTCTCTACCAGTAGTGGAGCGGTACAGCACTGATAGTCACTTGTCTCTCTACCAGTAGTGGAGCGGTATTGCACAGATAGTCATTTGTTTCTATACTAACAGTAGAGCGGTATAACATGGATAGCCCTCACTTGTCTCTCTACCAGTAGTGGAGCGGTAGAGCATGGATAGTCATTTGTCTCCCTACCAGTAGTGGAGCGGTATAGCATGGATAGTCACTTGTCTCTCTACCAGTAGTGGAGCGGTAGAGCATGGATAGTCATTTGTCTCTCTACCAGTAGTTGTGCGGTATTGCACGGATAGTCATTTGTCTCTCTACCAGTAGTGGAGCGGTATTGCACAGATAGTCATTTGTTTCTATACTAACAGTAGAGCGGTATAACATGGATAGTCACTTGTCTCTCTACCAGTAGTGGAGCGGTAGAGCATGGATAGTCATTTGTCTCTCTACCAGTAGTGGAGCGGTATAGCATGGATAGTCACTTGTCTCTCTACCAGTAGTGGAGCGGTAGAGCATGGATAGTCACTTGTCTCTCTACCAGTAGTGGAGCGGTAGAGCATGGATAGTCATTTGTCTCTCTACCAGTAGTAGTTGTGCGGTATAACATGGATAGTCACTTGTCTCTCTACCAGTAGTTGTGCCAGTAGTGGTAGCATAGTCACTTGTCTCTCTACCAGTAGTGGAGCGGTAGAGCACGGATAGTCACTTGGATAGTCACTTGTCTCTCTACCAGTAGTTGTGCGGTATTGCATGGATAGTCATTTGTCTCTCTACCAGTAGTTGTGCGGTATAGCATGGATAGTCATTTGTCTCTCTACCAGTAGTTGTGCGGTATTGCATGGATAGTCATTTGTCTCTCTACCAGTAGTTGTGCGGTATAGCATGGATAGTCACTTGTCTCTCTACCAGTAGTTGTGCGGTATTGCATGGATAGTCACTTGTCTCTCTACCAGTAGTTGTGCGGTATTGCATGGATAGTCATTTGTCTCCCTACCAGTAGTGGAGCGGTATTGCATGGATAGTCATTTGTCTCCCTACCAGTAGTGGAGCGGTAGAGCATGGATAGTCACTTGTCTCTCTACCAGTAGTGGAGCGGTA